GAGCCCCGGGGGGCTTGTTCGGGCCGCCGCGCCGGCGGCTGGCCGCGCCCCCGGCGGACAGCCGCGCGGCCAGCCGCCGAGCCGATGATGCCGATGATGCCGATGATGCTGATACTGGTGCTGATGATGCTGATGGTGATGCTGTGGAGTATCATAGTGAGGCTGCAGATAATGACGATGCTGATGATGATGCTGGTGCTGCTGCTCATGATGATCATGATGGAGGGAAAGTCTGACGACGGTGATGATGATGCCAATTCTGATGGTGGAGGGTGATGCTTCTGCTGATGCTGATGATGCTGAAGATGATGTTGATGATGCTGATAATGTTGCTGCTTCTGATGATGATGATGGAGGTTGGTGATGATGGTGCTGATGATGATAGAGGCTTATTATGATGCTACTGCTGATGACGACGATTCTGATGATAATGATGACGATGATGATGACGATAAAAGTTGATGATGGAAATGGTGTGGAGTATAAACAGGACGATGATTAAAACGATGCTGACTGTGGTGAGGATGATGAGGATGATGATGCTGATGATGTAGATGATGCTAAGTATAATATCGATGATGCTGCTGCTGCTGATGATGATAATGCTGATGGTGTTGAGCTGATGCCGATGCTGATGCTGATTCTGATGCTAATGAGGATGATGATGCTGCGGCTGGTGGTGATAATTATGCTGCTGATGATGATGCTGATGGTGATGCTGATGATGATGATGATGACGATGCTGATGCTGCTGATGACGACGACGATTCTGATGATGGATGGCGATGCCGATGCCGATGCCGATGCCGATGCCGATGCCGATGATGATGATTATGATGATGACGATGATGATGATGATGATGATGATGATGATGATGATGATGATGATGATGATGATGCTGATCCTGATGATGATTATGCTGATGATGATAAGGATGATGATGGTCATGATGATGACGATGATGGTCATGCTGATGTTTATGATGATGCTGCTGGTGATGATGCTGATTTTGATGGTGCTGACGATGGTGACGATGATCATGATGTCGTTTGGGGGGGGGTGATGGTATCGATGTCGATGATGATGAGGATGATGATGACGATGGTGATGATGAGGATGCTGCTGCTGATGCCGATTATGATGCTGCTGATGATGGTACTGATGATTTTGATGACGATGATGATGGTGATGATGATGCGATGATGATGATGCGCATGCTGATGCTAGTGATGATGATGAATATTTTGCCTATGATGCTGATGAGGAAGCTGATGCTACTGATGATGATGCAGATATTGATGATGTTGCTACTATTGATGCTTTTGCTGATGCTGGCGAAGATGATAATGATGACACGGATGATGCTGCTGCTGATGCTGATGATGAGGATGATGCTAATGATGGGGGGGGGGTGTGGATGAGGATGGTGGCGATGTTGATGATGCTGATGATGATGATGACGATGAAGGGTGATGATGATGGTGATGATGATAATGATCATGATGATGCAGGGTGATGGTGATGATGGCGAGCACACATAGGACGACGCTAACGATGATACTTATGATTGTGATGATGGTGCTACTGGTAATGATAAGGCCGATGCTTATTATGCGCTTACTGACGATGCTGATGATGTTGAAGATGCTGATACGGATGATGATGCTTATGCCGATGAGGATGAGTAGGGGGATTATGATGAGGATGGTGATGATGATGATGATGATGATGATGATGCTGATAATGATCATCATGATGCTGATGACGATGGCGACGACGACGACGGCGACGATGATGATGATGATGATGCTGACGACGATGCCGATGTTGATGATGGTGATGATGGTAATGATGATGATGCTGATGATGATGATGATGATGATGATGATGGCGATGGTGTTGTTGATGGTGCTGATTCCGATTACAATGATGATGCTGCTGGAGGGCGATGGCGATGAGGAGGATGACACTGATGATGATGATGATGATGATGATGATGATGATGATGGTACGCATGATCAGGACGGCGATACTAATGATGATTCCGATGATGATAACGATGCTGCTGCTGATGCTGCTGCTGCTGATGATGCTGATTATTGTGATGGTGGTGATTCAGATGATGATGGTGATGCTGATGATGATGGTGATGATGTCGATGATGATGATGAGGATGACGATGATGATGAGGGTGGTGGTGGTGGTGTCGGTGATGATGCTGATGATGATGACGTTGATGATGCTGATGATCTTGATGATGCTGATGATGATGATGATGATGATACTGTTGATAATGATGATGATGCAGGTGATGATGATGATGCCGATGCTGATACTGATGATGACGATGATGATGATGTTGTTGTTGTTGTTGACGATGATGGTGATTGGGAGGAGGTGGAGGATTTGCAGGACGATAATGATGATGATGCTGCTGCTGATGATGCTGATGCGGATGCTGATGCTGATGATGATGATGATGATGATGATGATGATGATGATGATGGTTATTCTGATGTCGATCATGTTTTTTGGGCTTACGCCAAACCGCTGGCCCCTTGGGGAATTTGCGGATGTTGTGTGTTGTTGAGGGCCTTTCTGTGTGTGTCGTTTGCGGGTTTCTTGGAGCTCTTTAGGGGCTTCATGGGGGCCTTTTCGAGGCCTTTTGGGCTGACATTCTCAGTATTCGCCATGCACGCATGGGGAATGGGGTGAGAACCCGCGTATGCACACGGAGGGCATCTATCAAAACACCCGACGAATGATTATCCTTCGGCACATCCCGCCACCGTGCTTGCGTTGCGGATCTGATGCCACTCGGATAGCTGATGGGTCTCACGGGAGGCGTCTCGGAGGCGTTTCGAAGGCAGTTTTTCCCACCCCCCTGGGTTGGGCATTCGTTTTGGATAGAACATTGCCCGCGCGTCTTCGCCTTCTCCCCCCCCTCCGCCTCTCCTCTTCTCTCCTGCCTCTCACCTCGCTCCTTCCTGCGTGCCAGCTTGCCTCCTACCTGGCCATCTCTGGAGGGCTGCGATCTGCGAGACCGTAGCCAATTTCGAGGGCTCCTGGGGGGTCCAGCAGAGTGACGTTTTACACAGAGCACCATGGGACCTCCCCATTCATGTGGGCTGCGATCAGGGCCGCTGGCGGGTCCAGCGGAGTGACGTCTTATCCAGACCACCAGGAGACCTCGCCACCCTGTTGGGTGGTCTGGAAGCTGGGCCGTTTCGGGGCTGCCGTGGCGGGTGCGTCTTAAGGTACCACCGGAGAATATCCATCGTGGGGCTGCGATCTGGAAATTTGCCGTTTTCGAGGCTTAGGGGGGTCCATGCGTCCGACCTAAAATGACCTCGCCATCTGGGGGGGGGGGGGCATCTGGGGCCGTCGGCCTGGTGACGGCTTTGCCCAGCGAAGGACGTCAAGAACCAGGAGACCTCCCATCCCTGTTGGTTGGGATCTGCGAAGCTGTCGCCACTTTCGAGGGCTGCTGGGTGGTCAACGGAGTGACGTCTTACCCAGACCGCCAGGAGACCTCGCCATCCCTGTAGGGCTGCGATCTGCGAAACCGTCGCCACTTTCGAGGGCTGCTGGGGGGTCCAGCGGAGTGACGTCTTACGCGGACCACCCGGAGACCTCGCTATCCCTGGGGGGGTTGCGATCTGCGAAAGTGTAGACACTCTCGAGGGCTGTTGGGTGGTCCAGCTGAGTGACGTCTTACCCAGACCACCAGGAGACTCGCCGTCCCCACCAGGAGACTCGCCGTCCTTGTGGGTCTGCGATCTGCGAAGCTGTCGCCACCTTCGATGGCGGCTGGGGGGTCCAGCGGAGTGACGTCTCACTCATATTCAGATGGGACCTCGCCTTTTTTGAGGGTCCAGAGGTGAGAGAGAGAGAGAGAGCAAGCCGTGCACGTCCAGGGTGCATTGGCAGTGAAACGTGCGAGGCTATGCTCGCGCCGGCGCGCCAAAGCAGAAGCGCCAGGCAGCCTTGCGCCACGCGTGCGCATACCCAGTCAGTGCCTGTTGTAGAGTTGCTTGTCCGCCTGCTGCTTGGCATGCCAAGTCGTAAAAACCGGTTCCAAGTGTTTTGGGCGGCCGCGCTGCGGGCCCCGCGGGCGGCTCACCTCCCTGGGTGTCGTGCGCTGTCTGGTTGCCGCTTCCCCATCTGTTGTACCCAGCAAAGTCACTTGAGGGCGCTCATTGGGATGTGACCACATACGAATGCCCTTCCAGGGCACCGTCTTGGGCGTCCAGCTTGTTTGTCTCGGCCTTGTTGAGCCACACGGTGTGCAAGCAATACATGAGTTTGGATACAATGCATGCTTCAAATATCCGCACCTTCCTTCGCAATGGAATATTGCAGTGCTTCCAAACCTTGCAGAGCGTGCTGAAATCTGCCGCTGCCATGCCCAAGCATCTGCTCAGCTCGGGGCCGCTCCCGCCGCTGGCAGATAGGAGGCCGCCCAAATAAACCATGCTCTCCTTGCACGGCACCACTGCGCCGCGGGGTTTTGTAAGCGCGGTCTGGCACCTAACAGGCAGGGCCTCTATCTTGCTCCAGTTAAACATCAATCCGTAATGCTGCCCTGCCTCCTGGATGCATTTCATGAGCGCGCCCACGAACTCGTCGTTGGTGCCCACCACGAGCGTGTCGTCCGCGTAGATCAGCTCGCTGACCAGAAGCTGCTCATCTTGCGTAAATCCCTGCCGCGTGAAAGCCACTGTGGCGTCGCGCATCAAGACTGTCATTACTATGGAAAACAAATGCGGCGATAGCGGGCAGCCCTGTGAGATACCGTACTCTTGCGGCCAAGATGCGGACATTGCTCCGGCCTCTCGTACCCAGAACGATCTATCCGTGTAGATTGACCGTACACATTCTGCAAATGGTGCTGGCACGCCGAAGCGGAGTAGAGCTTGCAATAAACCCTCTGGCGACACACTGTCGAAGGCCTTCGCCCAATCCAGCGCTAGGAAGATCAGCCGGTCGTAGCGGGACT